GACACTGGACTCAGGGAGGGAGAGGGGCTGTGTGCTGATGGCTGGGGGGCAGGCCTTTGGGGTGTACTCTTTGGTTATTTGATGATGCATGGAGGGATTGTAATCAATGCAATGAAGCAAAATACTATAGGATGAGTGTAAGACTGATGTTCTCCCATGTAAACCCACATAATTCACAATAAAAACTTTTTCAAAAAATCAGGAAAGGTGTGTGTCAGGGTGGTACACTTTTGCCATACTTATTCATTCTGTATGCTAAGCAAAAGAGTGCTTGCTGTTGTGCTGTAGGATAAGCACTGTGCTGTTAATCACAAGTGCAGTGGTTCAAAGCTACCAGCTGCTCCTCAGAAAACTATATAGGTTTGCTATGAGTCAGGACTGATTTGAAAACACTTAACAACAACAGCAATAACATGCTGAGCAAATAGTCAGAGAAGCTTAACTATATGAGAAGAACACAGCATCCGGATTGGAGTAAAAAGATGTGTCATCTGCATACCACAACCTCCCTTGTTGAAAGTGAAGAAGACTTAAAGATCTTACTGATGAAGATCAAAGACCACAAGCTTCAGTATGGATTATACCTGAACATGCCAAAATACGATAAAACAAAACAAACAACGGATTGCTGTCAAATCAATTATAACTAACAGCAACACTTTATAGGACAGAGTAGAACAGCCCCATAGGCTTTCCAAGGTTATAAATCCTTACAGAAGCAGACTGCCACATCTTTCTCCTGCAGAGGGGAAGGTGAGTTTGAACCACAACTTTTCCATTGTACCACAAGGGTTCCACTTCAACATAAAGAAAACATAAATCCTCACAACTAAGCCAATTAACAACATCATGATAAACTGAGAAAGTATTGAGGTTGTCAAGGATTTCATTTTACTTGGATTTACAATCAATGCTCATGGAAACAGCAGTCAAATCAAAGGACATATTGCATTGGGTAAATCTGCTTCAAAAGACCTCTTTAAAGGGTTGACGAGGAAGGATGTCACTTACAGGACTATGGTGTACCTGATCCAAGCTATGGTGTTCTCTATTGCCTCATACCTATGTATGTATGAAAATTGAATATGGAAGAGGAATTCATGCCTTTGAATGAGTCAGAACC